TAACATTAAAAGATATGATCAAATGCGCAAGTACTTGCCATGTAATGTATTCAGCAGGATCTCCACTGACTGGTTAACCGCAAAATGCGTAGAGACTATTCAGTTATGCATGTTGCTTGTTAAGGGGTGCACGGTTGGTAATACATTCTAACCCAGAATCATTCATTTTATACAGTCAGTATAACCTCGATTTTTGATTCGGATGACTACAATTCTTCGCTAACGCGAACTAAATTTCCTTTCCCTTGATCAAAATTTTACTGAAATTTACCCTGATAGGTCAAATTCCCTTCTAACTCGAACTGCTTTTCGCGGTTTCCCTTCAGAGTTCGAGTTACCTGGTCGTTACCGTAAACTGCATGGTCGCCTCTAGCTTACGGAAGAGGTTGCGAGCAGAGCTTCGACTGCATATAGAATGATAAAAAATTATTGAACCCTATTATCACGGCAAAATATAGTCATTTGTTGGAGTGTTTCACGGGTCAATTCTTTTCTTCGGCCTTCGGCTTCGGCAAGTCGCATTTCGCTAAGTAACGCCCAAGAATTAAATTTATTAAGTTACTTCAGATGGTAGTATCGCCAAGACCGATTCTCTGCTAAAAAACGAATCTACTTTTAATTTATTTAAAGGCACAAGACAAGAAAGATCATTACGAAAGCTTAGGGCAAACAACATGTCATATAATCTCATTAAGTAAACATGTTGGCAAACCAGAGGATGTTTCTTTATAATCCGAATCAAAAAGCCTTTTTGTCTTCTAATTTTTTTGTCAGCAGATCTAGATCTCTTTTTTGCTTCAAAATGAAGCGTCCTCAGATGATCGCCTCTTGCCTACCTTTGTCCACGAGCAAAAGCAAAAATCAGAAACAAACAAAAATAAGTAAATAACACCTTTTTTACAGGCTAGAACAAGAAGCATACAAAACTACACCCGTTTTTATAAATAACCAATTATCATCCCTTTGGAAAATGGCCAATTCAAATTCAGTTGAAGACCCGGGGGGATTCCCTTACTTCTTTAGCCTGCGTAGCAAGCGTTTCCTCGCGATCTTCGTCTAGAAAGCTGGGACAAGAGCGAAAAAAAAAAAATGAATGACCGGGGAGGAGGAGGGGAACGAAGGAACCGCTTGCCCGCAAACCCCACGATTTTGAAAAACTGCGTTCGCCCACGAACGCAGCTTCTGATTGGCGCGGTGCGGGTAGTGTTGATTACTTAGCATTCAAAACATCAATCAAACCAAGTATGCTTTGTTTTCGGGCGTCACAGATCTCGTCTCATCTGATTTGTGGTCGCCGATTACAAATGCTTTGGACTGATATTTATTGGAATCGTGTTTGTGCGAAGGTTTATGAGATCAGAGTCTTCAAAGCATAATTGGAGATCGAGCAGTGGAGACTAGGGAAGCCCAATTTATTGAGAATGACGGCGTGCAGATCTGACTGGAAAAAAGGAACTGTTTGTTGGAGATAACATCAACATAAATCAGAACATTGGTACTCGACGGTAGCTAAAGCCGCCATGGACAAGCGATTTGTCAGCTTTTTGAAATAAAAAGATTCTTTTTGTTTATTGGAAATTTAGCGGCATCTATTGTAGAGAACCACTAACTATGAGAGAACGTTTCGACACAGGCCGGAGGAGTGAATTGTTCCGGACAAATCATTTTTGACGTGTCGACAAGGTTTCAGACGAGATAAAGCCACACAACAAAAAACAAGAAATTCTGCAGCAATCGCTCATAGTTTTAACTTTCTTTTATCGCAAATCTTTTTTATTAAACTACTTGCAATCGCCTACAACGTGTTCTATTAGAGAACAAAGTAATTTTACAAATCTGGTAATCCAGGGGTAATCTGTTCGTTATGTTTCTATTTTGACGAGCTGTCAATTTACAAATGAACCGAACCGTGAAATATCAAGGGGCGTTTTCCAGAATCGTGGGGTTTGCGGGCAAGCGTTTCCTCTTCTCCCCTCCCCCTCCCCCTTCAACCTTTTTTTGCTTCCGCTTTAACTTTCGCGCAATAACTCGATTAGAAACGCTTGCTACGCAGGCTATTACTTCTTTAGCCTAAAAGGTTACGTGCCACTGAACAACAGGAAGTTGGTTTTAAGGTCTCGCCAGTGAGTATCAAACAGGGTCAACTAATTCACTATTTAGCGTCGTTAACAAAGTGAATTTTTGGACCGGATGCCTTTTAAAGAGTGCGAAAGTTGGGCCTACTTTTGTGCTATGAATAATCCTTTTTTAGAATTACCCGATGTTCGTTTAAAAAAATGCTCAATTTTGTTTGCGAAACGAAATGAGTTAGGGTCATAAAATAATGTATCTTTGTCTTAAACAGGGTAGGGTCAGGTTACTGTAAATGAAGTCTAATTACCAAGAAACAAAATAGACCAACTCTCCTCTCTTTCTTGGTATATGCTGGTTGTCGCGAAAAGGCAGCCCATTTTGACGCCCGTCCTAAAACAGTGCATAGCTAAGGAATGTTCCCAGTTTACGGGAGCCAATCAATCCATGCGAATATTGCTAATCACTGAAAATAATAGCTAAACATCTACTAGCTCCTCCTCAGGGTCGGTGCATAGCGCTACAAAGCCAGGACGCTTTGCATCGCATCTTACCTCCACCATTATTTACCTCCTCTTCGATAGATAGTTGTGTACCTATTCACTATAAGAAACAAAATAAAATGGCGTCTTTTTTTTTTCCTTTCTGCAAAAGGTATAGCGGTACCAAACGTCTTAATCCTTGCGGAAAATTAAATGTGGCCAAATTCTTCGTTTTCACTGTCACGCAATAAACACGACACAAAAAAATACTTCTGAAACCGTCCAGTGAAAGAAGCCAAGAAAATGAAATGTTATAAAAGACTAATATGTAAACAATTTGTCCAAATCTCAGGTCTTTGTGGCCCACAGTTTCTGAGTTAGTTGCCGAAACATTTCACGCACCTTTGTAGAGCTTTGTATGGAGACGCCATACTGGTGGACAGAAAGTGTCCACCAATATGGCCGCCGGAAATCAACAAAAACATCTGGAGTTCACTTTTTCTATAAAAGCTCTTCCTTTTCACTCGAGAACTAGCATACTTGCGCATAAACATATCTTCTAATACTTGAAATGGTTAAACTGCTGAAAATCAAGCGGAGAGACTTTTTTCAAGGAGATAGCATTCCGCTTTTGGTGTCACGCACTGTGAAAACTCGGAAGTTCAAACTGCTGTATTTTCGAAATGAAACATGCTTCGGGGCTGGAAACTTGTACAAAGATGTATTTCCTATCAATCTTCAACCTAGTGTAAATAAGAATTCGTAAAATCTCGCTTTTTTGACTTTGCAATCTGATGACATCACCGTGAAAACCATCAATTAATGATTCAGTTTTGTTTTCAGCTTGACTTATCTCTCAGGCTGAAAGCTGAAGACGTCATCGAGCACATAACTTAGGTAAACTGATTTTTCTCTATTAATTTAGGACAGTTAATTTACTTGTTATAGTCATTTATTATAAAACTATAGTTTTGGGTTAGGTGACTAACGAAATTCGATGATACTTCTTTGGTATTGTAAAAGCTGGTTTGCATGCAATGGTCACTATCTACGTGTAGTACGTGTATGTTATACTGAAAGAAACCTTGGGTTTAGAAGTCACGTAGTTTGACGCCCATGATTAGCTCTTTTCTTTACTTTAGGTGTATCCTTATTGGGCAAAGGTGACTATATCCTACTTTGTTTCATCCGACCGAGATGTAAAATCAGAGGAGCTCCTATGGGTCGGTGCAGGGTCTACATTTATTATACATTGGTACTCTTTTATCGTGGTGCACTGCTTTCTTGCTATTCTAACCTTTTATTAGTTCGAAAAGTTTTTCCGTTAGGATATGGTAGAAAAGATTGCTCTCCAAGGACGATGTTAGTATTACGCTATGATAAAAGTAACAGTAATTTTTTTTTTTTTTTTTTTTTTTTTTTTTTTAAGGAAACCATCAAAAACACAGGAAGAGATAAAATCGTGAAATTTATGGTATATGAAACCCTACAAAGCAATAAAAGTTTTGCTAAATAAAAGAAAACTGTTCCCTTGACGAAGTTCGTACTGCGACGGTCCGGCATAACTTAACTTCCTATCACCTGATGTATGGGTATCCAAGACCGAGTATATCCATACAATCAACTTGCCACGCAGGCTACCGATAATCAAGTTATCCTATATATTATCATCTTTTTATCTTTCCAGCTAATTTTTATAAATTTTGCTAGGTAAGATTTTAATCCTCAAAATTCTTATCCGATTTTAATAAAGGTTTCTGAGGTTTTGCCTCAAAGTGTTTAGCTACAAAAGGAATCGTGCTTAAGGCGCGATTAAATTAAAGATTTCTAAAATATTTTTTTCAGATGAAAAATTATATCAGGATGTTTGCTTTAATGAATTTAAAATCTTAACGAAATGAACGGCAATCTGGTGATATTCATGGTAGCCCAAGAGAGAATGGGTGTTCCCCTGAAGCGGTAGTGATATATTTTGCATCCACAACATATCACCTTTAAAAAGCATTGCCAATCAATCGCTCTCCATCACAGCAATTTTTGTATCCTAACGCCACGGGAAAGAGCGTTGCGTGACGAGACAAAACGGTGCTTCAGGGACCAATTCCCTACGCGCTCAGCCCATTATTGTGTCGTCACGAAAGGTGCCTCCCCACAAAGAAGCTAAAAAAGCGCTGCGTTACAAAACAAAGAGCTGCGGCATAAAGATGCATGAATAGGAGACTAACATGCTTGCATAATTGTGCAAAATATTAATACTGTTATAAGAGTTTACAGGAGCCTTGGCTCCTGGAGTTTACTATCAATAATCTAATACGACGAAGGTAGCCACAAAGGGCTAAACAGAAAATAACCAAAAACAATACTTTCGCACCTTACGCTTTACAGTCTGTATTTGTAGAATGCTATTCTAAGAAAATTAAACAGTGCTAAAGTTCAAGAATCCCCTTATTAGGACTGGGGCCTAGATACTTCTTCAATCATTATCCGGGATACTGAATTCCACCCGGTGACAGCATTACCCAAGGTGTAGCCACTACACTTTCCTACCCATAATTCCACTCTAACAGCGCCTTGTGGAAGGTTTTCACAGTACCCCTCAAATGACCGATGATGCAGCAGTTCAGGGTTCCCAGATGGCCAGTAGTTGTAAACAGCAGCCTCAATCGTCATTGGTCCACTGCAATCGTTTCCATTGAACTTGAAATACCAGCGATTGCACTCATAGTTACCCTGGACCCTCATGTTTCCCTGGAATGAGACTCTGAGCGCTGAATTAGACTGCAGTTTGTTAAACGCACAGTCCTGGAATAAAATCAAACAAATCAAACATATTGTAGTAAGGCGAGTAACCAAGTGTAATGATTGATATTAACTACTCCAGTCAAGAATACTTCCTAATTTTTTTAAAACTATGTAATAACTTCAATTGTTGTTGTCCTTATCCACATGGCCAGGAATCATTTTAACACGCACGATGTTTTTTCTTTCTTTATTTCTTTCTTTCTTTCTTTCTTTCTTTCTTTCTTCCTTTCTTTCTTTCTTTCAAAAAGAACCAAAGTAGAGGGAGATGTAACTTAGTTCTTTATGTAATGTGTTGGCAAACGGTAAGTAAGAGGGGAGACGTTCTTCTTTGAATTATTTTGATTTAGAAAGGAATAAATTATTTTTGGAGTGTGTGATTAATGATTCTTATTCTAATTACCTTTATCTTTCCGTTGCTAGTACTGGTTTGTGACTTCCACACACATTGTTTCCAGTTGGTTTGTGGTACTACACTTGCTTGACTTGCTTTGGCACTTTCTCCTTTCTCTCCTTTTCTTCCTTGATTTCCCACAATTCCTCGCTCTCCTTTAATTCCCACAGCTCCGCGCTCTCCTTTCATTCCCTGAATTCCTCGTGGTCCACTCTTCCCAGGGGGTCCTTCGCGCCCTCTGTCTCCTCTTGGACCCGGCATTCCATTTGATCCTTTATCACCAATTTGTCCTTTTACACCTTCTCTTCCCTGGGGTCCGTGTGGCCCCGGGACGCCCGGCACTCCCGGCACTCCCGGTATACCATTTGGTCCAGGAATACCAGGGAAACCCAGCGTAGATCGCTGAAGTTGAAAAAAGATGACCTGCACTTAGCAGAGACGAAGACGAAACGGGATCTTGGATAACTCGAGGCGGGGGATACTCGTAGGAATTCTTGGCGGTGGTGGTGTGCCACCCGGTTCTCCAAATCCTGACTCTATTTCAGACCAAATCACGTCATTTTTAAACCCGTTTTCAGACTTGGCCTCTAAAATCCATACCAGTTTTCAGACCTTGTCTCGAAGAAATTATGCATGTCATAATTACTTAGATTAATTTAGAACAGCAACGAAAAATAATTCGCGTAATTATTTATATTTCCTTCTCATTTGGAATTGAAACGATAAATACGTTCATACACGCCTGTGGCTCTCACGCAAACAATGATTCCGAACCAAAATGGACGAAGTCTATACCCGCCAGCCGTCTCCCTTGTTTTCAAGGCACGGAATGAACCTTGAATATCATAATCCTCTTAAATCGTTATTTCGTCTCGAATGGTGGATGGAATCAGAAAAATTAACAATTAACAATGGACAGGCTTCAGGTTTTCGAGGAAAGATCATGCTGAAGCGAGGACTTTTAAATAAACTGCCATAAACTTTTAACGGGTACTTTTTAATAAATGATCATAACGACGTGAGAGTAATAAAACGCTTTCTGGGTGTACCTAATCTAGGGCGCAGTAGTCCTTTTTACATCTTTATGCATTTCTTACCTGGCATAAGTCTTGTAATTTTGAGGCGTCAGTTTGTTGCTGAGGTGAGGTGGTTGTTCCCAGTGAGCCGCCAAAAAGAGAAAGAATCAGGAAAACAGCGAAATTCTGAACCATGGCGGTGAGAGTTGAACGAGAACACAGCGTTTTCTGAAATCAGTGCTACGTGCTCATCATTTTATAGAAAATATTTTCGGTAAATCCTCTGCTCCGGTGTATTGTTTTTTACTTTGTTTTTGCTTGTTTCTTTTTCCTTTTATGGCGATTTGTTGGCTCTTCTTATTCTTTGTTTATAATCTGGCTTCAAGATACTGAAACAGGGTCAAAAGATGAACATTCCAAAAATAAATGGCAGAATATAAATTGTTACAAAAGCAACAAAGTTTTATGCATGCTATCACGATTTTGTGTTTCTAACTGTACCCCATGCCTTTCCTCTTTAGTGCGTCAAAAATAATCATGAATTTGCCTTCAGTCCAAGTTGGGTATGCTACTGACGGTCAGAAAAAGTAGCGGCTCCACTAAGCTCCAGCTAAACAAGCCTTAACGTGTCTAGTGTTAGTGTGTCCATTTTTAAACTCTCACATCTTATACCTTGAAAGGGTGGGGAGTGGGGGTTGAGGGCCCCCTATAATGACCTATACTGGGAGGCGCAACCCAGAAGTGCACCCCTTTCAGGATAGACCATACCATTTTTTTTTTTTTTTTTTCAACTTTTGACAAGGACAAGCTAAGGAAACCCCCGGAAAGTACGTTTTAAAATGAGTAAAACTGCCAAGTTCTGGAAGTGATTTGTTGAAAACGAATTAACGAAGATATAGCTCCTCAGAGTCGGGAAATTTTACAGGCGTTTGCCTGACGGTAGGGGACGGGCACAAACTTGCTCTCCCCCTCACACCCGCACACGTACAAACGTATGTAAATTTTCGCAACTCTTTGCAAGCTTAAGACGTATCACTTTCAAATTTGGCAATGTCACAGCCTTTGAAATTAAAATTAAAGTTAAAATGCATTGAATCAAATTAAACGCTACATGAAAATGACAAAAGACATTGTGTTGGTACTAGATATGTGAACGGTCCCTTACCATAAATTGTCGCTTATAAGCCCTGGGATTATACATGTACATCTTCTTAATTGGTTTCAGGAAGGCGTATAAACGGAGGGGCTTTTAATTTCCGAGGGGGCTTATTGATGGCATAGAAAAAGCGCTTCGAAATAACTTGTAGCATTGCTGATCAAACTATATGTTTTTGCATTTACTGCTCGTTAATTAAGGCTTCAAAACGTCATTGTAAATCGAATTCAATTCAGTTCATGCAAGAGGGGAGTTTATTATACCCGGTGGGGATTATATTCGGATGTATTTTTTTCGTTTACAGCCATGATATGGGCCCATAATTGAAGACGAAGGCTTAAAAGTGCAATCATATAAGACGATTATCTGCCTGACGCGAACTTTCCACCGGATAACCCGTCTCAGGCGGATAATCCGTCTCTATTTTAAATACGGCCAATAGAAGGTGTACAAAAGGGTATGTTTTCTGTCAAAAATGGTCAGTGCAGGGTTAAGGGGTTAGTCCTCGGGGCGACGCCTCCCCGTATAAAACTGTGTTGAGTAGCCTCCCCGGCTATTACGATCTAGAGTCAGTCAAAAAGAGAGTGCATCGTCTTCGTCTTTATTTTTGCTGTAGCAGAAAATCGTGGGCAATTTATAAGTTAGATAAGCTTCGAAAATTGTACGTGAATGGAACGGTCATCTAGAAATTTTTTGCCGCCCTGAAGTAAAAAAAATCCGAACAGATATTTTACAGAAAACAGTCGTTGGGTGCCCCTAAAGTTTCCCTTGTTGAAGAAAACTTGCTCTTGTAACTGGAGAGCTTTAAGGCGGTTTTCACGCTATGATTTTTCGAAAGAAAAACGAAAAGATATAAACTGGTCAAAAATCGGATACATTAAAATGATCTGTTGCATCGTCATATATTTTCTATTGAAATCGGGCACACAAAAAAAACAGCCTTAAAGTAGCAGAACAAGAAATGAGAATGGATAAAACTTTTTAATACATTTCATTCCTATTTTCTAGTCAACTAAGTCGTGCAATTCGAACGCCCAAAGACGAGGTCTATTCTTATAATACTTGAACCCGGTCTGTCATTAGGTTAAGGAGCCTGGCTAAAAAAACTCACATACCGTAACAGCCGGTTATAAGCCCCCCCCCCCCTCCCCGGCCCCTTATAAGGCCCCCAATTATAGACCAATCTTTCTATACATGCTATTATACGTCTCCTCGAAAATAAGCCCCCCTCTAGCACCAATTAAAGGCTTCCTGTGAAATCTATTTATTATCAATGAAGTTTTGAAGCTTAATATAAAACCAGTAAATGCAAATTGTATTTTGATCAGCACCGCTATAGCGTGTTTAAAAACTCATTTTCTATTCCGATATTAAGCCTCCTTGGATATAAGACCCTCGGAAGTTACAGAGGCCAATCAAAACACGCGAAAACTGCTAGTATAGCTAGCCACTGAAAATGGCTTAACATCTACCCCTCTTTAGGGTCAGTGCATAGCGCCAAATAGTAATCGACGCTTATTGCATCGCGGTTTATCTCCACCATTATTTACCGCCTTTTGGAAAGATAGTCGTGCACCTATTCACTAGGAAACAAAATAAAATGGTGTCTTCAAGTATAGCGGTACCAAACGGTAATGCTAGCGGAAGATTTAATTTGGCCAACCATTCAGTTTTGTTGTCGGCTTGACTTATATCTCGGGCTGAAAAGTGATGACATCACCAAGTACGTGACTTGGGCAAACTGCTTTTATCTCTGTTCATTTAGAACGGTCCAATTTACTTATTATAGATCCTTAAACTATAGTTTTGGGGTAGGCTACAGAGTAATGGAATTCTGTGATAGTTACGCCTTCTTGTTATTGTAAAAGGCGGTTTACATGCAATGATCACCATGTAATACATGTGTTTCTACTGATAGAAGCCTTGGGTTAACAAGTCAACTGGATGCCTAGGCTCCCGGAGGGGTTACTCTCTATAATGGCCTATACGGGGTGGCTCCGCCCGAAAGGGGTACCTTTTTCAGGCTTCAGGTATATGAAAGGATAGGGATTTTACTCTTTGAAGTATATGAAAGGGTAGGGAAATCTGTCATTTGGGTCTGTTAAAGGACCCCAAGGGCTAACAGATGGATTTTATGGCTTTATAAAGTTTAGAAAACGTTTTATTTTTGTGATTAATTCCCAGTCAAGTGACAGTACATTTACAGCAGACAAAACAGAGGAATGCAAAGTTCTAAAAGGTATATAAAAGGGTAAGGGGTTGGACCTTAGGAACCGTATAAAAATTTTTTGAGTACCCCTCCCCCTCCCCCGGGCCTAGGCTAATCTCCCTTCTTTATTTAAGGTATATTACATATATACTGGGCAAAGGCGCCTATTCTATACCACAAACTTTATTGAATCGGCATATCCTCCTTAGGTTTCCTCCGAGCTAGATTTAAAATCAGAGGAGCTCCTATGTGGTCGATGTTGTGCTCAGACTAAGATAAAAGTGTAAGTATTTTCTACGAAACCATCAAAAATATAGAAAAAAAGATAAAGTCGTGAAATTTATGGTACACTGTATACGAAAACGTACAAAGCAATAAAAGCCTTGCTAAATAAAAGACAAAATCGTACTCTTTACGGAAATTCTTACTGAGACTAACTTGCTGAAAGGGTATCTCCTACCGGGTATACTCATACGGTTTCCCCGGGGCATACAGAACTGATTATTTAGGTCCCCAAGTTATTGTGACGTCCTCCCATCCCATTTTCTAGGTTAACAGACCCTGATAACTGGGTACGTCTTTATTTATAAACGCAATCGATCAGACAAGTCTGCAAATAGCTGCATTGGGTACTGAACTCAATATTTAGAGACTGTACGGGAAAATCTCTGTTAAGGAGCAAACATAATGAGTTCGATCTTATTAGGAAAAATAACGGACAAGATTAATTTGTACATACTGTTAGACTGGTTGTCTTTTATTGAAAGCTTTAATCACACATAAAACCAAACTGCACTGACATGCAAGAAATATAACAAAGATGCTATTTAAGTAATTGGAAGGTCTCAATGTTACGATTAAACACATATTAGTCTTTTTCCGCTGTGGCAGACATTCGAAAGGGAAGGGAAGGAATGGTTTTGGTGCGTGAGAAGCACTTGAGGGCGCGCGAGGAAGGAGGAAGGGGGAACGGTTTCCTCTCCTCCCTTCTCCCTCTTGCGCCGTCTCGCGCCTAAATTCCCTTTCCTTTGCCTTTCGAACGCCTTCCACGCAGGCTGAAGATAATCAAGTTATCCTATAATCATATTCATCTTCCTAGCTAATTGATATAAATTTTTCGAGGTGCAATTTTAATCCTCGAATTCTAATCCCTTTTTAATAATGGTCTTCCCTCGAAGCGGTTTGGCTTCAAAAGGAATCGTGCCGTGTGATTTAATTAAAGAACGATTTGATTTTAAAAATCATTTTCACTTCCGGATTTAATTAAAGATTTTTCAGTCGAAATATTTTAAATGCAAAGGTTACCTCTTCAGCATATTTTTTTTTTCGCTTACATGAAAGATTATATCGCGACCTTTACTTTGACTGCATCTTTATAGGAAATGAACGACAATCTGATGGTATAAATGGTAAGAAAAGAGTGAATTGGTTCCCCTGAAGCTTTAGTGATATATTTTGCATCCATAACATATCATCTACAAAAAGCATTCTCAATCAATCACTCTCAATCACCGCCATTTTGTCTCGTCACGCAACAAGAAGGAGCGGTACGTTACAAGACAAAACGGCTGCATGGGCCGGGAGACCAATCCCCACGACCTCGATCAGCCGATTATTGTGTCGTCACGAAAGGTGCCTCCTCACAAAGGAACTAAAGGAGCGCTGCGTGACAAAACAAAGAGCTGCTGCACAGGACTAACATGTTAACATTATAATACAAAATCATGATACTGTTATAAGAGTTTACGATTGACCATCTAATGCGACGGAAGTAGCCACAAAGGGCTAAAAAGAAAATAACCAAAAACAATACTTTCGCACCTTGCGCTTTACAGTCAATATTTGTAGAATGCTATTCCAAGGAAATTGAAACAGTGCTAAAGTTAAAGACTGCCCTTATTAGGACTGGGGCCTAGATACTTCTTCAATCATTATCCGAGATACTGAATTCCACCCAGTGCGAGCATCACCCAGGGTGTGGCCACTACACTTTCCTACCCATAATTCCACTCTAACAGCACCTTGTGGAAGGTTTTCACAGTACCCCTCAAATGACCGATGATGCAGCAGAGTAGGGTTGTTCCCAGATGGCCAGTAGTTGTAAACAGCAGCCTCAATCGTCATTGGTCCACTGCATTCATTTCCATTGAACTTGAAATACCAACGGTTACACCTAACATTACCATTGACCCTCATGTTTCCCTGGAATGAGACTCTGAGCGCTGAATTAGACTGCAGTTTGTTAAACGCACAGTCCTGGAATAAAATCAAACAAATCAAACATATTGTAGTAAGGCGAGTAACCAAGTGTAATGATTGATATTAACTACTCCAGTCAAGAATACTTCCTAATTTTTTACAAACTATGTAATAACTTCAATTGTTGTTGTCCTTATCCACATGGCCAGGAATCATTTTAACACGCACGATGTTTTTTTCTTTCTTTCTTTCTTTCTTTCTTTCTTTCTTTCTTTCAAAAAGAACCAAAGTAGAGGGAGATGTAACTTAGTTCTTTATGTAATGTGTTGGCAAACGGTAATTAAGAGGGGAGACGTTCTTCTTTGAATTATTTTGATTTAGAAAGGAATAAATTTTTTTTGGAGTGTGTTATTAATGATTCTTATTCTAATTACCTTAATCTTTCCGTTATCAGTGTCGCTGTGTGATTTCCACACACATTGTTTCCAGTTGGTTTGTGGTACTACACTTGCTTGACTTGCTTTGGCGCTTTCTCCTTTCTCTCCTTTCTCTCCTTTTCTTCCTTGATTTCCCACAATTCCTCGCTCTCCTTTAATTCCCACAGCTCCGCGCTCTCCTTTCATTCTCTGAATTCCTCGTGGTCCACTCTTCCCAGGGGGTCCTTCGCGCCCTCTGTCTCCTCTTGGACCCGGCATTCCATCTGATCCTTTATCACCAATTTGTCCTTTTACACCTTCTCTTCCCTGGGGTCCGTGTGGCCCCGGGACGCCCGGCACTCCCGGCACTCCCGGTATACCATTTGGTCCAGGAATACCAGGGAAACCCAGCATAGATCGCTGAAGTTGAAAAAAGATGACCTGCACTTAGCAGAGACGAAGACGAAACGGGATCTTGGATAACTCGAGGCGGGGGATACTCCTAGGAATTCTTGGCGGTGGTAGTGTGCCACCCGGTTCTCCAAATCCTGACTCTATTTCAGACCAAATCACGTCATTTTTAAACCCGTTTTCAGACTTGGCCTCTAAAATCCATACCAGTTTTCAGACCTTGTCTCGAAGAAATTATGCATGTCATAATTACTTAGATTAATTTAGAACAGCAACGAAAAATAATTCGCGTAATTATTTATATTTCCTTCTCATTTGGAATTGAAACGATAAATACGTTCATACACGCCTGTGGCTCTCACGCAAACAATGATTCCGAACCAAAATGGACGAAGTCTATACCCGCCAGCCGTCTCCCTTGTTTTCAAGGCACGGAATGAACCTTGAATATCATAATCCTCTTAAATCGTTATCTCGTCTCGAATGGTGGATGGAATCAGAGAAAATTAACAATTAACAATGGACAGGCTTCAGGTTTTCGAGGAAAGATCATGCTGAAGCGAGGACTTTTAAATAAACTGCCATAAACTTTTAACGGGTACTTTTTAATAAATGATCATAACGACGTGAGAGTAATAAAACGCTTTCTGGGTGTACCTAATCTAGGGCGCAGTAGTCCTTTTTACATCTTTATGCATTTCTTACCTGGCATAAGTCTTGTAATTTTGAGGCGTCAGTTTGTTGCTGAGGTGAGGTGGTTGTTCCCAGTGAGCCGCCAAAAAGAGAAAGAATCAGGAAAACAGCGAAATTCTGAACCATGGCGGTGAGAGTTGAACGAGAACACAGCGTTTTCTGAAATCAGTGCTACGTGCTCATCATTTTATAGAAAATATTTTCAGTAAATCCTCTGTTCCGGTGTATTGTTTCTTACTTTGGTTTTGCTTGTTTCTTTTTCCTTTTATGGCGATTTGTTGGCTCTTCTTATTCTTTGTTTATAATCTGGCTTCAAGATACTGAAACAGGGTCAAAAGATGAACATTCCAAAAATAAATGGCAGAATATAAATTGTTACGAAAGCAACAAAGTTTTATGCATGCTATCACGATTTTGTGTTTCTAACTGTACCCCATGCCTTTCCTCTTTAGTGCGTCAAAAATAATCATGAATTTGCCTTCAGTCCAAGTTGGGTATGCTACTGACGGTCAGAAAAAGTAGCGGCTCCACTAAGCTCCAGCTAAACAAGCCTTAACGTGTCTAGTGTTAGTGTGTCCATTTTTAAACTCTCACATCTTATACCTTGAAAGGGGTGGGGGAGTGGGGGGGGGGTTGAGGGGCCCCCTATAATGACCTATACTGGGAGGCCCAACCCAGAAGTGCCCCCCTTTCAGGATAGACCATACCATTTTTTTTTTTTTTTTTTTCAACTTTTGACAAGGACAAGCTAAGGAAACCCCCGGAAAGTACGTTTTAAAATGAGTAAAACTGCCAAGTTTTGGAAGTGATTTTTTTCGAAAACGAATTAACGAAGATATAGCTCCTCAGAGTCGGGAAATTTTACAGGCGTTTGCCTGACGGTAGGGGACGGGTACAATTGCTCTCCCCCTCCCACCCGCACACGTACAAACGTATGTAAATTTTCGCAACTCTTTGCAAGCTTAAGACGTATCACTTTCAAATTTAGCAATGTCACAGCCTTTGAAATTAAAATTAAAGTTAAAATTCATTGAATCAAATTAAACGCTACATGAAAATGACAAAAGACATTGTGTTGGTACTAGATATGTGAGCGGTCCCCTACCATAAATTGTCGCTCATAAGCCCATGGATTATACATGTACATCTTCTTAATTGGTTTTAGGAAGGCGTATAAACGGAGGGGCTTTTCATTTCCGAGGGGGCTTATTGATGGCATAGAAAAAGCGCTTCGAAATAACTTGTAGCATTGCTGATCAAAATATATGTTTTTGCATTTACTGCTCGTTAATTAAGGCTTCAAAACGTCATTGTAAATCGAATTCAATTCAGTTCATGCAAGAGGGGAGTTTATTATACCCGGTGGGGATTATATTCGGATGTATTTTTTTCGTTTACAGCCATGATATGGGCCCATATATAATTGAAGACGAAGGCTTAAAAGTGCAATCATATAAGACGATTATCTGCCTGACGCGAACTTTCCACCGGATAACCCGTCTCAGGCGGAGAATCCGTCTCTATTTTAAATACGGCCAATAGAAGGTGTACAAAAGGGTATGTTTTCTGTCAAAAATGGTAAGTGCAGGGTTAAGGGGTTAGTCCTCGGGGCGAAGCCTCCCCGTATAAAACTGTGTTGAGTAGCCTCCCCGGCTATTACGATCTAGAGTCGGTCAAAAAGAGAGTGCATCGTCTTCGTTTTTATTTTTGCTGTAGCAGAAAATCGTGGGGAATTTATAAGTTAGATAAGCTTCGAAAATTGTACGTGAATGGAACGGTCATCTAGAAATTTTTTGCCGCCCTGAGGTAAAAAAAATCCGAACAGATATTTTACAGAAAACAGTCGTTGGGTGCCCCTAAAGTTTCCCTTGTTGAAGAAAACTTGCTCTTGTAACTGGAGAGCTTTAAGGCGGTTTTCACGCTATGATTTTTCGAAAGAAAAACGAAAAGATATAAACTGGTCAAAAATCGGATACATTAAAATGATCTGTTGCATCGTCATATATTTTCTATTGAAATCGGGCACACAAAAAAAACAGCCTTAAAATAGCAGAACAAGAAATGAGAATGGATAAAACTTTTTAATACATTTCATTCCTATTTTCTAGTCAACTAAGTCGTGCAATTCGAACGCCCAAAGACGAGGTCTCTTCTTATAATACTTGAACCCGGTCTGTCATTAGGTTAAGGAGCCTGTCTAAAAAAACTCACATACCGTAACAGCCGGTTATAAGCCCCTACTGCCCCCCCGCCCCTTATAAGGCCCCCAATTATAGACCAATCTTTCTATACATGCTATTATACGTCTCCTCGAATATAAGCCCCCCTCTAGCACCAATTATAAGCTTCCTGTGAAATCTATTTATTATCAATGAAGTTTTGAAGCTTAATATAAAACCAGTAAACTCGCCATATCTTAGGATATAACTTTTATCATGTTTTTATCTTATTTCTAATACTTATTTCTTGTTGTTATATTGTATTGTTAGTTAATCACTAGTCTTAATTTTTATAAATTGTAATTATCACACGGCATGTGTGAAAACCAGCTTGCTGAGCCATTTACCGTGTTTAAATAAAGTTGATTGATTGATTGATTGATTGATTGAGTAAATGCAAATTGTATTTTGATCAGCACCGCTATAGCGTGTTTAAAAACTCATTTTCTATTCCGATTTTAAGCCTCCTTGGATATAAGACCCTCGGAAGTTACAGGGGCCAATCAAAACACTCGAAAACTGCTAGTATAGCTAGCCACTGAAAATGGCTTAACATCTATTTAGGGTCGGTGCATAGCGCCAAATAGTAATCGACGCTTATTGCATCGCGGTTTATCTCCACCATTATTTACCGCCTTTTGGAAAGATAGTCGTGCACCTATTCACTAGGAAACAAAATAAAATGATGTCTTCAAGTATAGCGGTACCAAAAGGTAATGCTAGCGGAAGATTTAATTTGGCCAACCATTCAGTTTTGTTGTCGGCTTGACTTATATCTCGGGCTGAAAGGTGATGACATCACCAAGTACGTGACTTGGGCAAACTGCTTTTATCTCTGTTCATTCAGAACGGTCCAATTTACTTATTATAGATCCTTAAACTATAGTTCTGGGGTAGGCTACAGAGTAATGGAATTCTGTGATAGTTACGCCTTCTTGTTATTGTAAAAGGCGGTTTACATGCAGTGATCACCATGTAATACATGTGTTTCTACTGATAGAAGTCTTGGGTTAACAAGTCAACTGGATGCCTAGGCTCCCGGAGGGGTTACTCTCTATAATGGCCTATACGGGGTGGCTCCGCCCGAAAGGGGGGTACCTTTTTCAGGCTTCAGGTATATGAAAGGGTAGGGATTTTACTCTTTGAAGTATATGAAAGGGTAGGGAAATCTGTCATTTGGGTCTGTTAAAGGGCCCCAAGGGCTAACAGATGGATTTTATGGCTTTATAAAGTTTAGAAAACGTTTTATTTTTGTGATTAATTCCCAGTCAAGTGACAGTACATTTACAGCAGACAAAACTGAGGAATGCAAAGTTCTAAAAGGTATATAAAAGGGTAAGGGGTTGGACCTTAGGAACCGTATAAAAATTTTTCGAGTACCCCTCCCCCTCCCCCGGGCCTAGGCTAATCTCCCTTCTTTATTTAAGGCATATTACATATATACTGGGCAAAGGCGCCTATTCTATACCACAAACTTTATTGAATCGGTATATCCTCCTTAGGTTTCCTCCGAGCTAGATTTAAAATCAGAGGAGCTCCTATGTGGTCAATGTTGTGCTCAGACTAAGATAAAAGTGTAAGTATTTTCTACGAAACCATCAAAAATATAGAAAAAAAGATAAAGTCGTGAAATTTATGGTACACTGTATACGAAAACGTACAAAGCAATAAAAGCCTTGCTAAATAAAAGACAATCGTACTCTTTACGGAAATTCTTACTGAGACTAACTTGCTGTAAGGGTATCTCCTACCGGGTATACTCATACGCTTTCCCCTACCGGGGCATACAGCACTGGTTATTTAGGTCCCCAAGTTATTGTGACGTCCTCCTCTCCCATTATCTAGGTTAAGAAACCCTGATAACTGGGTGCGTCTTTATTTATAACCGCAATCGAACAGACAAGTCTGCAAATAGCTACATTGGATACTGAAATCAATATTGAGAGACTGTACGGGGAAAATCTCTGTTAAGGAGCAAACATAATGAGTTCGATCTTATTTGTTAGGAAAAATAATGGACAAGATTTGTACATACTGTTAGACTGATTGTCTTTTATTGAAAGATTTAATCACGCATAAAAGCAAACTGCACTGACATGCAAGAAAAAGATGCTATCTAAGTAATGGGAAGGTTTGTTGACAAGAATCTCAATGTTACGAGTAAACACATATTCCTCTTTCTCCGCTGTGGCAGACATTCGAAAGGGAAGGGAAGGAATGGTTTAGGTGCGTGAGAAGCACTTAAGGGCGCGCGAAAAAGGAGGAAGGGGAACGATTTCCTCTCCTCTCTTCTCCCTCGCGCGCGGTCTCGTGCCTAAACTCTCTTTCCTTTCCATAATTTCGAACTCCTTCCACACAGGCTAAAGATAATCAAGTTATCCTATAATCATATTCATCTTCCTAGCTAATTGATATAAATTTTTCGAGGTGCAATTTTAATCCTCGAATTCTAATCCGTTTTTAATAATGGTCTTCCCTCGAAGCGGTTTGGCTAGAAAAGGAATCGTGCAGTGTGATTTAATTAAAGAACGATTTGATTTTAAAAATCATTTTCACTTCCGGATTTAATTAAAGATTTTTCAGTCGAAATATTTTAAATGCAAAGGTTACCTCTTTAGTTTTTTTTTTTTTTTCGCTTACATGAAAGATTATATCACGACCTTTACTTTGACTACATCTTTATGGGAAATGAACGACAATCTGATGGTATAAATGGTAAGCCAAGAGTGAATTGGTTCCCCTGAAGCTTTAGTGATATATTTTGCATCCATAACATATCATCTACAAAAAGCATTTCCAATCAATCACTCTCAATCACAGCCATTTTGTCTCGTCACGGAACGAGAAGGAGCTGTACGTTACAAGACAAAACGGCTGCATGGGCCGGGAGATTAATTCCCTACGAGCTCGATCAGCCAATTATTGTGTCGTCACGAAAGGTGCCTCCCCACAAAGGAGTTAAAGAAGCGCAGCGTGACAAAACAAAGAGCTGCCGCACAGGACTAACATGTCAACATAATAATACAAAATCATGATACTGTTATAATAGTTTACTATTGACCATGTAATGCGACGGAAGTAACCACAAAGGGCTAAAAAGAAAATAACCAAAAACAATACTTTCGCACCTTGCGCTTTACAGTCTATATTCGTAGAATGCTATTCGAAGGAAATTGAAACAGCGCAGAAGGTAAAGACTCCCCTCATTAGGACTGGGGCCTAGATACTTCTTCAATCATTATCCGGGACACTGATATCCACCTAGTGCGAGCACCACCCAGGGTTTGGCCACTACACTTTCCTACCCATAATTCCACTCTAACTGCGCCTTGTGAGATGTTTTCACAGTACCCCTCAAATGATCGATGATGATACAGATAATGGTACCCAGATGACCAGTTGTTGTAAACAGCAGCCTCAATCGTCATTGGTCCACTGCATTCATTTCCATTGAACTTGAAATACCAGCGGTTACACTTATTATGACCATGGACCCTCCTGTTTCCCTGGAATGAGACTCTGAGCGCTGAATTAGACTGCAGTTTGTTAAAGGCACAGTCCTGGAATAAAAGCACACAAATCAAACATATTGTATTGGGGCGAGAAACCGTGTCTAATGATTGATACTAACAACTCCAGTGATGATTACTTCCTAATTTTTAAAAACTCTGTAATAGCTTAAATTTTTGTTGTAGTTATCCATATGGTCTGATCATTGTATCACGCACGATGGTCTTCTTTTTTTCGTTCAAAAAAGAACCAAAGTAAAGGGAAATGTAACTTAGTTATTTATGTAATGTGTTGGCAAACGGTGAGTGAGAAGGGAGACGTTCGCCTTTGAAAAATTTTAATTTAAAAGGGAATGAATTCTCTTAGGAGTGTGTTATGATTCTTATTCTATTTACCTTAATCTTTCCGTTATCAGTATCGCTAGCTGATTTCCACACACATTGTTTCCAGTTGGTTTGTGGTACTACACTTGCTTGACTTCCTTTGGCGCTTTCTCCTTTCTCTCCTTTGTCTCCTTTTCTTCCTTTCATTCCCACAATGCCTCGCTCTCCTTTTATTCCCGCAGCTCCGCGCAGTCCTTTCATTCCCACAATACCTCGCTCTCCTTTCATTCCCACAGCTCAACGCACTCCTTTCATTCCCACAATGCCTTTCTCTCCTTTCATTCCCGAAATGCCTGGCTCTCCTTTCATTCCCTTTATTCCTCGGGGTCCACTCTTCCCAGGGAGTCCTTCGCGCCCTCTGTCTCCTCTTGGACCCGACATTCCTTGTGATCCTTTATCACCAATTTGTCCTTTTGGACCTTCCCTTCCCTGGGGTCCGTGTGGCCCCGGGACGCCTGGTATACCATTTGATCCTGGAATACCAGGGAAACCCAGCATAGATCGCTAAAAGTAAAGATGAGAGACGAAGATGACACGGGATCTTAAATAACTTGGGTAATTTGTTTTTCAGGCCTAAGTCAATTATGGAGAAATAGGATAATTCTCATGCAACGTCTTATAACTATTGTCTTATGAATAATTAATTAGCTAAGTAGGATACGTAAAATTCCGAAAATAAGCCCCTCCAAATATAAACCCCCCAAAATCGTGACGCAACAAACCCTCCGTTAAATCACCCCTCGGAATATAAGTCCCCTGCGAGGCTTGTACTTGGAATTTTCCCTTCAATACAAAGTAAAACAAAGCAAAAATGGTAAATTTCGTTCTAACGATAAGCTAGCACAATCAATTTTAAAACGCAAATTTCCGTCTCTACATAAGCCCTTCCGAATATAAGCCCCTCAAAAAGGGCCTTTGAAAAATATACGCCCCGGGGATTATTTTCGGAATTTTACGGTTATCTTACAGTGACCTTGGGCTACCTGTGAATGGACCTTGGACACCATAATCCTATTTAAAGCGTTATCTCGCCAAGAATGGACTTGGATGGAATCAGAGAAAATTAACAGCTAACAATGGACAGGACTCAGGTTTTCGAGGAAAGATCATGCTGAATTAGGCGAGGACTTTTAAATAAACTGCCATACATTTTTAACGGGTACTTTTTAGTGGGGGTGGGGTGGTAAGCTCTTTATAATGATCTTTAGGTTGAGACGCTGCCCAAAAGGATACCTCTTTCAATTGAGGATAGACTATTCCACGTTATTATCTTTTTGTCAGCTTGTGATATAGAAAAGTTAAGAAAAATATATCAGCCGTTGGCACCACTGGAAAGAACGCCTCAACATTAGTAAAATTGCCAAGTTTCTAAACGGATTTGTTGAAAACTGACACAGTCCAGTGTCTTATAGTAAGTCATGACAAAATGACATTATCTGTCTCTCATATTAAGAAAAAAAAAACAAGTCAAAAAGAATAAAATCTCGTATTCCTCAATTCCTATTCTTTAAAAAGTTCTTAAAAAAAGACAGCTTAATTCGGGCAGGCTCTAATAGTTTCGATCTGTAAATCTGAGTCAACAAAGTTTATTTGTCGTCTTCTGGATTTTGAGCCTCTCAAACATAGTATCGCAGAGCGTACGGTGGAGAAAGACACTTTAGCTTTTATCCAGGAAATTGCGCTTGAGTAACTTTCTCCCTTCTTATTTGCGATCAGCTCCGCGGAGTATTCTGTGGTACTTAATGTTGTGAAGTATTCTGTAGGTTATTTCAAGTTTATTTCGTGTTTGTGCTTGACGTTTCACCCGTGACTAGAGTCTCTAATATGATCAGTTTATAGATCAAGGTTAATCCGTATATGTGTTAACAGGTTTTTGAGTGTTATTACCTTTTTAATGGGTTTGTCGACCGAATTGTCATCAAGCTTGGGGTTTAATTAAGTTTGATTGTCAGTTTTTAAGTGGGTACGTTTTGGAACCATTACTGACCTTGATCGTTACCTACATCAGAGTTCCTGTTTTGGTTTAAGGTAGAGTCTCGTGGGTTTAGCTGTCACGCTTCCATTGGTTTTCTTATGGATTTGTCTATTCCACTTTGGTGATCAACAGGAAATTCGTTTAAGTCACTCGGAAAAGCGTTTGTAACTCTCATGGTCAGCAAGCCTAGACGTACCTACGTTTTACTCATATAAGTTGCCAGTGTTTAGCACTAGTAGGAGAGAAAGTAGTTGAGATTAGTTACATATGAGCTGCTGTAAAGATTAAAGAACAACAAGATGTAAACTCAGATACCTGGTACCTCTACGCTCAGCGAGCGAGTTGCTCGTAAACCCCTAAATTAACACGCACACTCATCCGCCGTTCAACCTGTGGTCGTAAAAAAAGTGGAGTGAACGTTCTCTGTTCGATCTCCATTACTCTTTCCGCACACACTGCCTCTAATAATAATAATAATAATAATAATAATAATAATAATAATAAATAATATAATAATAATACAAGCTCATAGCACAGTTTCTAGAAATTCAACAGCGTTATTCAACGATATAGTGGAGGCCAGCTTTCACGATGCAGAAAAGCGTTGTGATTCAGTCTGTAACGTAACGAGCCTGGCTTAACAACTCACATACCGTAAACAACCGATTATAAGCCCACCCTCCCCCACCCGCCACTTATAAATAACCCCCCTCCCTCCATGCTATTTATGGAACCATCTGCCTGTAAACAAAAAGAGCATGTGATTATAAGTCTCCCCGAATATAAGCCCCCCCTCCCTCTAGCACCAATTATAAGCCCCTCTTTGAATTCTATTTATAATGACGTTTTGAAGGTTAAGTTAAAACCAGTAAACGCAGCAAAACGTATTTCGATCAGCACCAGTAACTATAGCGTGTTTCAAAGCTTATTTTCTATTCCGATTATAAGCCTCCTCAGATATAAGCCGCTCGGTTTATAAGCCTTCTTAAAACCCCTTACTAAGATGTATAATCCCAGGGCTTATAAGCGGCCGTAGTTTTATCTTTAGAGTAGCTGTCATTGAAACTGAGATTGTTTAATCATGTTTAACCTTTTGGTCATATTCCAACAATGAATGGTTGCTTTCCTTTTTATCTGTGCTAAATCAGCTGGAGGCAAACACCGGGGAGAGGGTACTACCTTACTTGGCTTGAAAGGTTATGTGCCGCTGAACAAATTGATTTTCAAGGACTCACCTGAGTCTCAAACAGCTTCTACTGTTTCACTATTTAGCGTCTTTAACAGGGTGTCTTTATGGACCGGAAGCCTAGCCATAAAAGGTCAACATTTATGCTATAAATAATCCTGATTCCATGATGTTAGTTAAAAAAAAAAAATGCTTCATTCTGTATGCAAAACTAAAGTAGTCGGGGCCATAGAATGATGTCTCTTGACTTAAAACAGGCTAGGGTAAGGTGCCTGTAAATCAAGTGTAACTAACTACCAGTAAACAAAGCAAACTAACTTTCATCTCTTTCTTGGTATTACAGTGCATAGCTAAGGAACGTTCCGAGTTACGGGGTAAAACTTGCGAAAATAACTACCTCTTCAGGGTCGGTCAGCGCATGGCGCTAGATATCCTCGACGCTCATTAATTCGCCGCTTATCTCCACCATTATTTACCTCCTCTTCGGGACAAAGTTGTGAACTTATTCACTACGAAACAAAATAAAATGGCTTCTTTTCTTTCCTCTCTGTAAAAGGTATAGAGGTTTTTCGTTGTTGTTGTTGTTTTCTTCTTTTGCTAGTGGAATATTAAATTTTGCCAAAGATTCAGTATTCTTTTCGGCTTGACTTATCTCTCGGGCTGAAAGGCGACGACGTCATTAAGCACGTGCTTGGGTTTCCTCCCCAGGATAACGGTTGTTATACGTTGGTATCTCTTTTATCATAGGTGGAATGTCTTTTGGCTATTCCAACCTTTTATTAGTTCACCTCCGCCTGAGACATCGACGAAACGATTTTTTTCGGTAAGGATAGTAGAAAAAATTGCTCTCAAAGGGCTACGATCAATGTTGTTAACCGGCTAATATAAAAGTTTCAGTATTTTCAAGGAAACCATCAAAAACATAGAAAAAAATAAAGTCGTTACATTGATGGTATATAAAAACGTACAAACCAATAAAAGCGTTGCTAAATAAAAGAAAACTGTACTCTAGACGGAAGTTCGTACTGTGACGGTCCGGCATAACTTAACTTGCTATAACTTACTGTATGGGTATCCTCTACCAGGATCGAACCGGGAATACCCATACAGCATTAGGCCGGGTTGTTCAAAGCTGGGTTAAGATAAGATAACCCAGGGTTTGAGCGAAATTTGAACTCAGATATGAAAGTTTAAAAAGTAGATTTAGTTTTTAAGATTAATTCTTTTTGTCAACAAGTTAATGGTTGAATGCTCTTAGAAATAACAGAGAAAATTATCCGAGAAAAAGCTTTTAAACAAAAGAAACCCTGCTTACATTTAACCCAAGATTAAGCGCTAATCGGCCTTCGAACAACTTGGTCCTAGTAATTTAGGCACCTAAATGAGTGTGACGACCCCCGTCCCATTTTCTAAGGAAAGAAACCATGGGATGTCTTTATTCAAAAACGCACTCAAACATGCAAGTCTGCAAATAGCTGCATTGGATAGATCAATATTGAGAGACCGTGCGGGAAATTCTCTGTGCATTTTACATCAGGCAAGAAATAAAGAGTTTAATCTCCAGTTTGTCAGGAAAAATAATGGACAAGATTTGTGCATACTGCAAGACATTGTCTTTTATTGAAAGCTTTAATAACACATTGAAGCAAACGACACTGACATGAAAGAAATATAATAAAGATAGTATTTAAGTAAAGAGAAGGTTTTAAAAGAATCTCAATGCTACGAGTAAAAACATTCCTTTTTTTCAACTGTATGAGAAATAATTTAGCCTGCGTGACAGGCGTTCCAAAGGGAAGGGACAGAGGATATATAATGGGCGCGTGGGAAGCATGAAGGGTGCGCGAGGAAGGAGGAAGGGGAACGCGTATGCATAATCATCTTCTTAGCTATTTGTTACAAATTTCCAAGGTGCGATATTTAAAATCCTTGAATTCTAATCCTGATTTGCCCCGAAGTGTTAAGCCACAAAATGGATCGTGCTCTTCCACAAAGATTTTGTAAAATATTTTGAAGGCAAAGACTACCTCTTCAGCATTTTTTTTTTTTTTCAGATGAAAGATTATATCACGACCTTTGCTTTGACTAAATAATTTATTTAAGTGAGACTGGGTTCCCCTGAGGCTGTAGTGACATAGTTTTGCATCCATAACATATCACCTAAGAAAAAGAATGGCCAATCAATCACTCAACATCACAACCGTTTTTGTCTGGTCACGCAACGGAAAGGAGCTTTGCGTGACAGCACAAAATGACTGTATGTGTATGGTGGACCAATTCCCTGCGCGTCCATCCGATTATTTTGTCGTCACAAAAGGTGCCTAGTCCCAATGGAGCTAGAGAAACGTTGCGTGACAAAACAAAGAACTGCTGCACAAAAGTGCATGAAAAGGACTAACATATACCCACCCCACCCAGTGTAAGCATCACCCAAGGTTACGCCACCACACCATCCTACCCATAATTCCACTCTAACAGCCACTTGTGAAATGTTTTCACAGTATCCCTCAAATGAACGATGATGCAGCAGACTAGGGTTGGTCTTAGATGGCCAGTAGTTGTAAAAAACAGCCTCAATCGTTATTGGTCCACTGCATTCATTTCCATTGAACTTGAAATACCAGCGATTACACTTTTGATCACTCATGACCCTCATGTTTCCCTGGAATGAGACTCTAAGCGCTGAATTAGACTGCAGTTTGTTAAACACACAGTCCTGGAATAAAATCAAACAAAACAAAACATATTGTAGTAGGGCGAGCAACCTTGTGTAATGATTGATACTAACTACTGAAGTCAAGTATACTTCTTAGTTAAAAACAAAAAAACAACAACAACAACAACAACAAAAACTCTGTAGCTTAAATTTTTGTTGTCCTTATATTCATATGACCAGGAATCATTTTATCACGCACAATGATTTCCCTTTTTCGTTCAAAAAGAATCAAAGTAGAGGGAAATGTAACTTAGTTATTTATCTCAATGTGCTGGGAAACGGTGAGTGAGAGGGGAGAAAGATTTTTATTTAGAAAGGAATTAATTTCATTTGAAGTGTGTTATGATTCTTATTCTGATTACCTTAATCTTCCCGTTGTCAGTTTCGGTGTTTGATTTCCACACACATTGTTTCCAGTTGGTTTGTGGTACTACACTTGCTTGACTTGCTTTGGCACTTTCTCCTTTCTCTCCTTTGTCTCCTTTTCTTCCTTGATTCCCCACAGTGCCTTGCTCTCCTTTCATTCCCAGAAGTCCCTGTTGACCTTTCACTCCTTTAATTCCTCGGGGTCCACTCTTCCCAGGGGGCCCTTCGCGCCCTCTGTCTCCTCTTGCACCCGGCATTCCTTGTGATCCTTTATCTCCAATTTGTCCTTTTACACCTTCCCTTCCCTGGGGTCCGTGTGGCCCTGGCACTCCTGGCACTCCAGGTATACCATTCGATCCTGGAATGCCAGGAAAACCCAGCATAGATCGCTGAAAGTAAAGATGACTTATTAGCAGAGACGAAGACGACACGGGATCTTAGATAACTCGAGGTGGGAGGGGGGGAGGGTGGATGTACTTCTGGGAATTCTTGGTGGGGATGTGCCGCCCGGTTTCCCAAATCCTGATTCTATTTCAGACCAAAACACGTCATTTTTTACACCCGTTTTCAGATTTGGCCCCTAAAATCCATACCAGTTTTAGGACCTTGTCTCTAAGAATTTATGTATGTCATTCTTACTTAGATTAATTCTCTTTTGAAAATGAAAGGATAATTCCGTTTATACACGCCCGTAGCTCCCTCGCAAACAATGATTCCACACCTAAATGAACAAAGTCTGTACCCGCCGGCCGTCTCCCTTGTTTTCGAGGCACGGAATGGACCTTGGACATCATAATCCTATTAAAGCGTTATCTCGCCTGGAATGGATTTGGATGGAATCAGAGAAAATTAACAGTTAACAATGGACAGGCTTCAGGTTTTCGAGGAAAGATCATGCTGAAGCGAGGACTTTTAAATAAACCGCCATACACGTTTAACCGGTACTTTTTAGTAAATGATCATAAAGACGTGAGAGTAATAAAACGGTTTCTTGGTGTACCTAATCTACGGCGCAGTACTCCTTTTTATATCTTTATGCATTTCTTACCTGGCATAAGTCTTTTAACTTTGAGGCGTTTTGTTGCTGCGGTGAGGTGGTTGTTCACAGAGAGCCGCCAAAAAAAGAGAGAATCAGGAAAATAGCGAAATATTGAACCATGGCGGCGAGAGTTGAACGAGAACACAGCGTTTTCTGAAATCAGTAGTACGTGCTCATCATTTTATAGCAAATAATTTAAGAAAATCCTCTGTTCCGGTATATTGTTTGTTTGTTTTTGCTTGTTCCTTTTTCCTTTTATGGCTATTTTTTTGCATCTTCTTATTCTCTGTTTTTGAGCCCGCTTCAGGGTACTGAAACAGGGTCAAAAGATGAACATTCCAAAAATTAATTACAAAACATAAATTTTACAAAAGCAACTTTTAAAAGCAAGTTTTATGCATACCATCGTTTCTAACAGTATCCGTTCCCTTTCCTTTTTACTGCGCCAAAAGCCAAAAATATAACTTTGCTCTCAATCCAAGTTGGCTATGTTATGTCAGAAAAAGTAGCGGCTCCATTAAGCTCCAGCTAAACAAGCCTTAATGTGTCAAGTGTTAGTGTGTTTATTTTTAAACTCCCATATCATTAACTTTGAAAGAGGGTTAGGAGCGAGGGCTCCCTATAATAACCTAACGGGGAGGCGCTGCCCAAAAGGATACCTCTTTCAATTCAGGATAAACTATTGCACGTTATTTTCAACTTTTGACATGGACAAGCTAAAGAAACTAATGGAAAGGACGCCTTTAAATTAGAAAAATTGCCAAGTCTAAAAGTCGTACTTATTGAAAACCAGGTAGGTAGGTAGGTAGATTATTTATTTAAAACTCGGTAAAATCTTCAGTAATAATAGAGTAAAAATCTAATCACAATTAATTAGACTAAAAACTATCGACATACTGTTTTACAAGACTGCCGAGTGAGAGTCCGACGACTCAAATACATGTTTGATTTGCTCTTTAAATTTCCTGACTGATTTAGTTTCTCTCACATTTTCGGGTAAAGAGTTCCACAACAAAGCACCGCTGTAACTGAAACTTCGTTTCAAGTAGTTAGTACGCGGCCTGGGCAACGTCAATTTATGAAAGGAATTGCGCAAATCATAGTCTGTGCTTCGTTCGTGAAATAGGTTCTGCAAGTACACTGGAGCTTGTGCATTTAGAGATTTAAACATCATTATTGCTTTATGCTTCTTTCTCCTTATAACTAATTTGTCCCATTTGAGTATATCAAGAAGCAGGCTCGAGCTAGTCCCATAGTTGGCCTTTAAAATTACTCTAGCTGCACGGTTCTGTAACTTTTGTAATTTGTCACTCAGTTGATCACTTAAGCCATCCCAAACAAGGCTACAGTAATCAAAGTGAGGTTGAATTCAGGAGTTATAGACTAGTACCGCAGTAGATTGGGAGATAAGGGGCCTAATACGTCTAAGGGCACCTATAGCCGAAGTTACCTTCTTACACAATTCGTTAACATGATTAGACCAGGAAAGCCGATTGTCAATAATGAGACCTAATGATTTTGCGTGATCAACATTGCTGATAACTTGGTCTTCTAGTTTGATGTTTATTTCGTTATGGCTTTCCGCGAGAAGCTTCTGGCGAGAGCCAATAACCATAAACTCGGTTTTCGCAACATTAAGACTAAGCTTATTGGCTTTTAGCCAACAGTGAAGGTTCAGTAGTTCTAAGTTAGTCTCTTGTTCAAGGTCAGCTAGAGAGGAACCAGAAATGGTAATAGTTGTATCATCTGCGAACATTTTAGCGCATGCTGAATTAAGGCAGTTTGGAAGATCGTTTATATAGATTAAGAAGAACAAAGGACCGAGAATACTACCCTGTGGGACTCCGCATCTTAGTTCGCTTGCACTGGACAATACGCCATTAACATAACATTTCTGGCTCCTGTTACCTAGGTAGGAGGCAAAGAATCGTAGGGAACCCAGATCAAGTCCATACGATGATAACAACCAACGATGATATAGCTCTTTAATGTCGCCAAATTTTACGGACGTTTGTATGGTGGGGGCACAAAATTGCTCTTCACCCTCCCCACCCTCCACGTACAAAAGTCTGTCAATTTTTGCAACTTTGCACGCTTGAGACGTATCACTTCATGTTTCATTTGGCAATGTTACAGCAACTGTAATCAAAATTAAACTTCTGTCAGTATTAGATTTGTGTCAGAGGTACAGCAAAAAGTATTTCTTTCCTCTACTGCTGTGACGTTAGTGAGATGATTGTTTGCACAAAAAAATAATAATAATAAAATAAAATAAAACAAGAACGAACAAAAGCCTACTGCACAATTTGTTTTAAGCCATGAACCCACAGATTCGAGTTATTTCCAGTTCTGTTAAACCTAGCTCATTCATAGCTGTCGCTTATAAGCCGTGGGATTATACACCTTCTTAAGGGGTTTTAATTCAGCGGGTAGGCTCCGAGGGAGGCGTATAAACGGAGGGGCTTTAATAACTGAGGGGGAGTATAGATGGCAAAGCCGGAAAAAGAGCTTTGAAATACGCTGTAGCATTGCTGATCAAAATACATTTTTGCATTTACTAATCGTTAATTGAGGCTTCGAAACGTCATTATAAATCGACTTCAATTTAGTTAAAGCAAGAGGGTAGCGTGTTATTTTCGGTGTGGCTCTTTTTTTATTTTTTTATTTTTTTATTTTTTTTTCGTTTACAGCCATGATATCGGCCCATAACTGAAGAGGAGGGCTAATAAGTCAAGGCGCTTATTCGCTACTTTGACTGGGCAGAGATGAGTTTGTCAAATGCATTGTGGGACTTTTTGGGGGGACGCGTTTTTAACAGTGGCGAATCAAGCAGCATTTTACGGTGTTTCACGGCATTGGTTCAGATTTTCAGATCCAGAGGAAAAAGAGCAAACTGTTCTTCACTAACGCGCTAAATACATGTAACAAGTGCATTCGTGTACAACGTGACATGCATAGAGCCGTTACAGAGCTGAGTGATATTTTAATAGAAGGATTTATCTCTAAATTTCTACATGTATACTGAGTGAACAATATTATTTTCAGGGTTTCCGGTAACTCGTCTTTGCAGAGACTTCATTCCTTTCATCCCGCGCTGAATCGATCGTCCCCTTCTTTTCACTTCCCAAATTCTTGGCCACTACTTTCATAAAAAAAGTGTACATTCAGACGTAGACAGGGCTTACAGATGTTAAAAACTCTAGAAAACGTCCTGGTTTCTTGATTTTCCTGTGTCATATTTAAAAGGGTGCATTTATAGCAGTAAAAATAAAAGATGTAAAGTTCTCAACGAGCTATGTTGAAAGAGGCGCCATATGTCAATGGAAAGTATAAGAAAGGGTATCTCGAGAGTGTGTTTCGTTAATGAAGGCTTTTAGACCAGCTGATCATGATTTGACCCAAACGCGCCGATCTTAATTTCGGCTGAATTAAGTTCAAAAGGCTAAAAATGCTCATTTTCAAACTACTTACAAAATAGGTAAAAAAATTTATGCATTAGGTTCGGCGTCTGATTCAAAGCCTGTCCAAAGTCGCTCCAAAGGCGAAATTCCCAGCCAGGCTAGGCGAAAAGAACGGCTGAGCTGTGTCAAATTGAACCAGTCGTTCCTAATTGATTCATGACGCCGAACTTTTCATGTACTTTATTCAATGTATAAGGTTCGGCTCATGAAAAGTTTGGCGTCATGATTCGTTTCGACAACGTCCTATTCGCCAACGTGTTAGGTATCCTCCGATCCAAATAAAAAATCAGAGGAGTTCCTATGGGTCGGTGCAGGGTCGACACTTGTTTTACGTTTGTACTTTTTATTAGAGGAGCCTTATTTTTTGCTATTCTAAGCTTTTATTAGTTCACCTTCGGCTGCAACATCGAGGAAACGTTTTTTTCGGTTAGAATGATGGAAAAGATAACTCTCCAAGGGCGATCAGTTGCTGTCAGGCTAAGACAAAAGTGTCAGTATTTTCAAGGAAACCATAAAAAACACAGAAAAGGATAAAGTAGTTAAACTTTGGAATAAAAACGTTCAAAGCAATAAAAGCCTTGCTAATTAAAAGGAATTGTACTCTTGACGGAAGTTCGTGCTGCGACGGTCCGGCATAACTTAACTTGATATAACTTGCTGTATGGGCATCCCCTACAGGGATCGAACCGGGAATACCCATACGGTATCCCCTACTGGGTATACCCATACGGCACTGATGATTTAGGTATCCAAATGATTGTGAAGCCCCCCCTCCCCCCTCCTTCCATTTTCAAAGTTAAGATTTGTGCATACTGTAAGACACATATTATTGAAACAATGATTGAAAGCTTTAATTGATTAATGCACGACACATTGAAGCAAACTAAACTGACATGCAAGAAATGAAACAAAGATGCTATTAAGGTAATGCTAAGGTTTGACAAGAATCTCAATGTTACGAATAAAATCATTCTATTTTTCCACTGTTTGAGAGATAATCTAGCCTGCGCGCCAGGCGTTCCAAAGGGAAGGAAAAGGAGATTTTGGGTGCGTGAGAAGCGTGAAGGGCGCGCCAGGAATGACGAAGGAGAACGCGTTCTTCACCTCGCTTCTTCCTCGCGCTTGGTCTCGCTCTTAAATTCCTTTGCCCTCCCTTTCGAACGTTTGCCACGTATGCTAGAGATAATCAAGTTATTCTATCATCATATTCATCTTCTTAGCTAATTGATATAAATTTTACAAGGTGCGATTTTAATCCTCGAAATCTAATCCGCTTTTAGTAATGGTCTTGCCTCGAAGCGGTTTGGCTACAAAAGGAATCGTGCCGTTTGATTTAATTAAGCCGATTAAAATCGTTTTCACTTCCGGATTGAATTAAAGATTTTCCAGACGAAAATATTTCAAATGCGACGGTTACCCCTTCCGCAGATTTTTTTATCGTTGAGATTATCGCGCCAAGGTTAAAGACTCCCTTTATTAGGACTGGGGCCTAGATACTTCTTCAATCATTATCCGAGATACTGAATTCCACCCAGTGCGAGCATTGCCCAGGGTGTAGCCACGACACTTTCCTACCCATAATTCTACTCTAACAGCGCCTTGTGGGATGTTTTCACAGTACCCCTCAAATGACCGATGATGCAGCAGAGTAGGGTTGTTCCCAGATGGCCAGTAGGTGTAAACAACAGCCTCAATCGTCATTGGTCCACTGCATTCATTTCCATTGAACTTGAAATACCAGCGGTTACACTTTTGATTACCATCGACCCTCATGTTTCCCTGGAATGAGACTCTGAGCGCTGAATTAGACTGCAGTTTGTTAAACGCACAGTCCTGGAATGAAAGCAAACAAATCAAACATATTGTAGTAAGGCGAGCAACCGTGTCGTAATGATTGATACTAACAACTCCAGTCATTATTACTTCCTAATTTTTAAAACTCTGTAATAGCTTAAATTTTCGTTGTCCTTATCCATATGGCCAGGAATCATTTTATCACGCACGATGGTTTTCTTTTTTTCGTTCAAAAAAGAACCAAAGTATAGAGAGAAATGTAACTTAGTTATTTATGTAATGTGTTGGCAAACGGGTGAGTGAGGGGGGAGACGTTCTTCTTTGAAACATTTTAATTTAAAAAGGAATGAATTTTCTTAGCAGTGTGTTATGATTCTTATTCTACTTACCTTAATCTTTCCGTCATTATTACTGATGTCTGATTTCGACACACATTGTTTCCAGTTGGTTTGTGGTACTACACTTCTTTCTCCTTTCTCTCCTTTGTCTCCTTTTCTTCCTTTCATTCCCACAATACCTCGCTCTCCTTTCATTCCCACAGGTCCGCGCACGCCTTTCATTCCCGCAATGCCTGCCTCTCCTTTCATTCCCTTAATTCCCAGGGGTCCACTCTTCCCAGGGGTTCCTTCTCGCCCTCTGTTTCCTCTTGGACCCGGCATTCCTTGTGATCCTTTATCACCAATTTGTCCTTTTACACCTTCCCCTCCCTGGGGTCCCTGTGGGCCCGGGACGCCCGGCACTCCCGGTATACCATTTGATCCTGGAATACCAGGGAAACCCAGCATAGATCGCTGAAAATAAAGATGACTTGTTATTAGCAGAGACGAAAACGACACGGGATCTTAAATAACTCGGGGGAGGGTTTGGATGTACTCCTAGGAGTTCTTGGTGGGGATGTGCCGCCCGGTTCCCCAAATCCTGACTCTATTTCAGACCAAAACACGTCATTTTTTACCTCCGTTTTCAGACTTGGCCTGTAAAATCCATACCAGTTTTAGGACCTCGTCTCTAAGAAGTTGTGCATGTCATCTTTACTTAGATTAACTCTCTTTTGGAAATGAAAGGACAATTCCGTTCATACACGCCTGGAACTCCCTCGCAAACAATGATTCCACACCAAAAGGAAAAAAAGTCTGTACCCGCCAGCCGTCTCCCTTGTTTTCGAGGCACGGAATGGACCTTGGATGGAATCAGAGAAAATTAACAGCTAACAATGGACAGGCTTCAGCGGGTTTTCGAGGAAAGATCATGCTGAAGCGAGGACTTTTAAATAAACCACCATACACTGTTTTAACGGGTACTATTTGGTAAATGATCGTAACGACGTGAGACTAGTAAAACAGTTTCTGGGTGTACCTAATCTACGGCGCAGTACTCCATTTTATATCTTTAAGCATGTCTTACCTGGCATAAGTCTTTTAACTTTGAGGCGTTTTGTTGCTGAGGTGAGGTGGTTGTTCCCAGTGAGCCGCCAAAAAAAGAGAGAATCAGGGAAACAGCGAAATACTGAACCATGGCGGTGAGAGTTGAACGAGAACACAACACAGCGTTTTCTAAAGTTAGTGCTAAGTGCTCATCATTTTATAGTAAATATTTTAAGTAAATCCTCAGCTGTTCCGGTATATTGTTTGTTTGTTTTTGCTTGTTTTTTTTATCTTTTATGGCAATTTTTTGATCGTTCTATTCTCTGTTTATAATCCCGCTTCAGGGTACTGAAACAGGGTCAAAAGATGAACATTCCAAAAATTAATTACAGAACATAAATTTTACAAAAGCAACTTAGCTTTTAAAAGCAAGTCTTATGCATGCTATCATGACTTTGTGTTTCTAACGGTACCCGATTCCTTTCCTTTTTAGTGCGCCAAAAAGCCAATTTCAATCCAAGCATGTTACTGTCAGAAAAAGTAGCGGCTCCATTAAGCTCCAGCTAAACATGCCTTAACGTGTCTAGTGTTCATGTGTTTATTTTTAAACTCCCATATCATAATTATACTTTGAAGGCGGGTTGGGAGGGCTCCCTATAATAACCTAACGGGGAGGCGCTGCCCAAAAGGATACCTCTTTCAATTCAGGACAGACTATTCCACGTTATTTTCAATATTTGACATGGACAAGCTAAATAAACCTATGGAAAGAACGTCTTTAAATTAGAAAAATTGCAAAGTCTAAAAGTCGGATTTGTTGAAAACTAACCAACATATAGCTCCTCAATGTCGCCAAATTTTACAGACTGTTTGTATGGTGGGGGCCGGGCACAAACTTGCTTCACCCCCACCACGTAAAAACGTCTGTCTATTTTTGCAACTTTGCTGAGCTATATCTTTGCACGCTTAAGACGTATCACTTTCTTATTTGGCAATGTTACAGCCACTGAAATTAAAATGAAACTTATGTGTGTACTAGGAGTAATCGGAGCTTAGGAGAGTGCGTTCGATATGTTTGCTAGGCGTACAGGTAGCAGTTGAGAGGAAAGGGTGGATGGTTCTTGCGATAGATAACTATGATTATGGCATATTTCAAACGTAAGGGTTGCGTACAGCGAAACCTCCATTTAAACTGTGTATCATAATGAAAAGGTTTTGAAGGCTATGTTATCAGCGTGATATCGTATGGTTCGTCTCAAGAGCTTGTTATTTGAGGAGACACTGGCCAGAGTGCTTCGGGGGTGAAAAAAGAACTTTTTGTTTTACTGGCGCAACAGATTTTCTACTGGGCCAAGTTGTTCAAAGGACGATCAGCGCTTATCCCGGGTTTCTTTTTCTTTTGTTAAAAAACATTTCTTTAAATAATTTTCTCCGTTATTTTTAAGACAGTCCAATCATCAATAGTTGATGGCAAAATATAGCCGGGTTCGTCGCGAGTTCGACTCTCGCCCGGGGCATGAAAATTTTCTTTTCTCTCGGGCGAGCATGGTGTCTCCTTCTTTCAAGTTGGAAATGTTCACTGAAAGTGTATGTGTGCTGCTCACTAGTGTATCATTAAAACTAATAAAAATAAAAATAAATTAATTTAAGCAACCACGAGTTCGTGAGAAAAAAAAGATAATAATAAAATGGCGGGTGAAAGGTAAGTGACGTCGACTGATTCAATTTTTTTTTTTTTTATGATCCGAGTTGATCCGAGTCCAATTTTATTTTATTTTTAATTATTTATCGGATCCGAGTCGATCCGACCGGGACTGGCGGTCTGAGTTGATCCAGTCCGACCAGCTAAAATGTTCGTTTGTCCAGTGCCGAAAATATCACAAGTCATGATGAAATGGTGCCGCCGAGCTTTACATCTCTGTAGATTTACTTTGTGGAATAACGGCCTCCGAGCTACACAGCTCGGTAGACTTACTCTGTGGCACTACGGCCGCCTAGCTACACAGCTCAGTAGATTTGTTGTGACACAACAGACGCTGAGCTTCACAACACGCCGGGAAATTTACTTTCTGGCTACACAACTCGGTAGATTTACTCTGTGGCACTGCGGCCGCCGAGGTGCACAGCTCAGTAGATTTACTTTATGGTACAACAGACGCTGAGCTTCCCAACTCGCCGGTAAATTTACTTTGTGGCACAAAGAAGATATGAAGGCTTAATCCAAAGCAAAATTTTACTGAGGGTGTAAATTTACTTTGTGGCACAAAGAAGATATGAAGGCTTAATCCAAAGTAAAATTTTACTGAGGGTGTAAACTTTCAGCACATTTTGGAAAGATGAACGCTTTGGAAGATTTATTTAAACACAGATCGATAGTGGACGCAGATCAGACACGTGTCTAGTGTTAGTGTGTTTATTTTTAAACTCCCATATCATATACTTTGAAGGCGGGTTGGGAGGGCTCCCTATAATAACCTATACGGGTGGGGAGGCGCTGCCCAAAAGGGTACCTCTTTCAATTCAACAACAACAACAACAAGTTTATTCAGTATTACCATTTTGTACAGGTGTCACCGATTAAAATAACAATAATAAACAGTTAAGTTTAAGGAAATACAGGTATGATGAAATGGTAGAATTAACTATTTCTTTCGTCTTTCAAATGCTTGAAAGATGAAATTAGCAGCTAGACTGCTGATATGTGAATCAGTATTGTTAAAAAGAAAACAGACTTTAACATGGATATTGTAATGTGTAAATAATGTATTTCGGTCGTTGATTTTAACAAAAAGAGTCTTTCTCAAATCTTTGTATTGATCACACTGAAATAATATATGCAGTTCATTTTCAACCGAATTTTGGTTGCAATGATCACAGATTCTAAGGTCTTCAGGAGTTTTGGGGATTGTAAATCTTCCAGTTTCTATTTTTAAATTACGATTTCCTATCCTAAATTTGGAAGCTACAGCCTATGTTCAGGATTCCGGATATGATTGATGAATTCAGAGTGATTTGTTTCATTTTTAAAGATGGAATAGAATTTTAGTTTTTAGTTGTTCTTATCAAATTTAGCTGGTGGTTTTTCAGATGTTTTGACAAATTATTCTCAGCTTTGGATAGGAAAGTAGAAGGGTTTTTAAAGTTAACTGACTGTTTATGAATATTAAGTTGTGTACTCGAAAGATTTATTTTATTTATTAGACCTGATTTATTTTCTTCGGCCAGTTTATCCGATATGTTTAAGCAGAGTTTAGCGATGCTGTCAGGGGGTTGATTTTCAAGGTGAATCCAAAATTTGAAAATGTTCATTGTTATTTGTAAATTCAGGATAGACTATTCCACGTTATTTTCAATATTTGACATGGACAAGCTAAAGAAACCTATGGAAAGAACGTCTTTAAATTAGAAAAATTGCAAAGTCTAAAAGTCGGATTTGCTGAAAACTAACCAACATATAGCTCCAATTGCAATTACTACGGCTGTAAACAGTTGTTAGCTTTTTCTTTTTTTTTTTCCAGCGAATTTTCCCTCATCGATGGATTTAAATGTATACGTAAAAACACTCACAATAGATAAGAGCTCCTGCCGGAAGATCCTGTCCCCAAACTTGCTACTTACTGACACTTGTTGAAAAAGGGAGGAAAAATAGCTAACAACTGTTTACAACCGTAGCAATTGTAATTGCAAAATTTTTTCTAAATCATACATAAAAAACCATCGTCTTACGCTTTTTAAAAATAAGAGTAGAGATCAAAACATTAACAACGCGACATGTTTTGATATTACATGTCACTATCACACGCGATGCTTGACTTCCGCGACCCCGGAGTGCAATGTGAGAAGTGAAAAATCTGTTACTGTACCCAGTAGGCTAAATGCTCCAATTGTCCTTTGACGGTTGAACAATTTGACCCTGCCAGCCCGCGTCGGTTTGAATTGTCGACGTGACGGTTGGAGTCCGTTGCGGGTCTGCTCTCGACTCGCCTCACCTCAGCCTTGTATTGCCCACTTCGTTGGCGATTTAGGACCTTCGAAATGGGAATTTTGGCGATGTGAATGATGGAAAAAGTGCGTTATTTATCAGGGCATCTGTTTCCGGCGGAATTGTCTCCATGTCGCAAATGTCACGGAATTTATCGCCGCCGAGAGCGGAGCCGGTCAAGAGAGGTTTGCCATGGGTGAAAAACTGTCGCTCCAAAAAAGGCCTTAAACATTGCCTAGGAGGTCTGAAATGCAGTCCGAATACAAAGAAAAACAAGAAGACGCTTAAGGTAAGCTTCAAAGCGATATTCAATGTACATTTTGCTAATTTAGTGAGCAAAGAATATTTCTCCATACAACGTCTTATAATTTTCTTGCTGTATGAATAATTAATTAACTAAGTAGGATAATGTTGTTCAGGGCTCTCATAGTGAGCTTGGGCTACCTGTGCTCAATGTCGCCAAATTTTTCAGACTGTTTGTATGGTGGGGGCCGGGCACAAACTTGCTTCTCCCCCCCCCCCCCACCACGTACAAACGTCTGTCAATTTTTGCAAATTTACAGAGCTATATCTTTTCACGCCTAAGACGTATCACTTTCTCATTTGGCAATGTTACAGCCACTGAAATTAAAATTAAACTTCTGTTAGTACTAGGAGTAATCGGAGCTTAGGAGAGTGCGTTTGATATGTTTGCTAGGCATACAGGTAGCAGTTGAGAGGAAAGGGTGGATGGTTCTTGCGATAGATATCTATGATTATGGCATATTTTGAACGTGAGGGTTGCGTACAGCGAAACCTCCATTTAAACTGTCTATCATAATGAAAAGGTTTGGAAGGCTATGTGATCAGCGTGATATCGTATGGGTCGTCTCAAGTGCTTGTTATTTGAGGAGACACTGGCCAGATATGATTGCTTCGGGCGTGTAAAAAGACCTTTTTGTTTTACTGGAGCAATAGATTTTCTACTGGGCGCAGTTGTTCGAAGGCCGATCAGCGCTTAAGCCGGGTTTCTTTTTCTTTTGTTAAAAAACATTTCTTTGGATAATTTTCTCAGTTATTTTTAAGAGCGTCCAATCATCAACTTGTTGGCAAAATGAAGCCGGGTACCGAGTTCGATTCTCGCCCGGGGCATGAAAATCTCCTTTGTTCGGCGGGGCTTATATTCGGAC